GAGGGGAAGGGAGGGAGAAAGAGATGGAGGGAAACATCTATGTGCAAGAGATACATTGATTGGCTGCCTCTCACATGTCCCCAACTGGGGACCCAGCCCAGAATTCAGGCACACTCCCTGACTGGGAATCAAACCAGTGACCTTCTGGTTTTCAAGCCAACACTCAATCCTTCGAGCCACACCAGCTACAGATATTTTTTAAATTGGAAAAATATATGTCAATTTACATATTTAAGTGAAGTAAGGAGAATGAGGTCTTGCAAGAATGACAAGGCAAAGATAGAAGCATAGTATTTGCATTGTTACGCTGACCCTGGTAACCCCCTTCCTGACCCCATGTTACAGTCTTAGAAATTGTGTCTGTAAAATTATTATGTCTGTCAGTTATTCATCACTCGCTGACAAGCACTAAGGGTTCTATCTTGCCTAGCATGGTCACACTGTCTCTGCCATTGTGGTGTGCCCCACTTTTGTTATTTGATTTTACTCTCTGCCTTGTGATCCTTCTGGGATAGTAGCCTTTGAAGGCCCAAAGGGATGTTTTTATATTAAAATCCTGGGGGTCAGGTTTAGAAACACAATGCCTCTCATCACAGCTGGCCACATCCATCAGTTCTGTCAAGATACTAATGGGAGAAAATGTCTTTACAAATATAGTCCCCATGAGATAAAGATCCTCATTTACTTTGTTCCTAATTCACAAAGAGAAGTTGATTTCCTCTTTAAAACTAAGTTGAGGTTTAATCTTGAATGAATTCTAACACGTAGCTTGAAGTTTCCATTACAAACTGACTTGTTTTGTTTCAAGTGACTTTATAACCTTTATAAAGTTTTGGCATCTGAAATGGAGCTCTTCCTCATACAGATGAACTCTGTAGTCCTCTGTCCTTGTCCCGGCTGACTTTCTTGAACGACCAACAGCCTTTGTGAGCCAGACGACATTTGGCGACTTAGCTCCCCAGTGCCCACGCACGTGCCACTGGTGCTGGAGCTGACGCAGTGGATATCTGACAGCAGAGAGGCTGCTCTTCCACTGACTCGAGGTCTGAGAAACAGCTACAACTGCAAAAGGCAAGGCCTAGAAGGGCAGGTCGCTGACTATTTGGTTTGATTGAAGATCTCTGCCAAGAGTCTTTCTAAAAATTCTCTTTACTAACCTTCCAGTAATCTAAGAACTACGAGGGCACAGATTTTTGTGTTTTATCTACGGGAGTATCTCTATAACAGTGCCTGGCATATAGTAGAAGCTGAAGAGGAGATGTTTAAAAAAAACAGTGTTTCTTTGTCTTTAAAACAGGGATAGTAATAGTGTCTGCCATTCTAATATACAATTTCAATGTTATGGGGTTGTTTTAAGGATTGCATCAGTTAAAACAGGTACAGCAATTAAAATAGAATGTGACTCATAGCAAGGGGTCCTCAGTTGCAAGGCAGGGAGGCTGGCATCCAGGAAAACTGGGGAACAATGCAGGAGTCCTGTAGTGAGCACCCGTGGGCCTGAGAAGCAGTAACAGTGGCTCCTGCTGAGTCCAACCTGATTGTGGGGAAGGACAATTGCTTAGAATGTTGCAGTTCTTGCCTCATGCGCCCAAGCTTGAACCTGAACTTCACTACAGAATGAGCAGGATAAGCTGGGGGGAGGGGATGAGAAAACTGGTGACAACAGAGGCAAAAGCAAAGGTGTAGGAGCTACAGTCAAATGCACTCCCCCACTCCCACTCCAGGAACTTATTTATGATTCAACCATTAGTTCCCTAGTCTTTTGATTTAATACATTGTGTATTCAGTATCTATTCTCTGTTGACAGGCAAATGCCTGGGGACTGGAGGTCCTACAGTAACCCCTTCCCAGTAAAAGGCATCTATATCATCCCCCCTGGCATACTGTTCTCTTGGTGAGGAGATGGCAAAGTTCTGAGAGAATGAACCACATGGCAGGTAAATTTGACAATGGGGCCCAGAGGTTATCAGAGCACAGGACAGTGCCCAAGAAGGGGCAGCCCTATCCTGCCAGGGAGGAGTGCTGTCCATGGACAGCTGCTGGTGGCTCAGGTTATGGGGTGGAGGTAGCACGGGACATGAACAGAACAGGTAGAAGGGATCTGTTACCAAAATACCTAGTGTCTACCTGGGGATACATCATGTTACTTACGAAGGCGAGAGGCTCGAGGTTATTCTCAGGTTTCAATTTAATTGCTCTGTTCTTTTTCCTAATAGCTTTTTAAACTTCGGATGCAGTACATACTACTCTTCTATTAAGTTATGTATGTAGGAATCAGGTCAGTTGGAGAAGGTTAAATTGGGTTGAAATTTGTACTTGTTGTACATTTTATTTGGCAATAACAATTTTTATACTTCACATTTATATATGCAATATAAATAATATATATTATATAATCCATTTATATATTCTGATCTAACATATGTAATCTATCACAATAACTCTGTATTGTATGTAATATTAACTCTATTTAACACATGAAGAAACAAAGAAACTCAAAATTAAGATGTGAGGTTGGGGTAGAAGCCCCTGCTGATGGGCGCTCAAGCCACGGTTTTGTGACTTTAGATTTAAGGGTCTTTTTTAACTATATTTGGCTGCCTCTCAACCACAAATAATTGGTGGCATCTGGCCAGCTGAAAAACAGTATTTTTTCTTTTTACCAATAAATAGAAAACATTCTGTGTTCCATCTACCAGTTTGCTCCTTATTAAATGTACTAATTGAAGAGCAAACTAGTTCTATTCTCTAGACCAGTAGTTCTAGACGATTCAAAAGATGATCCATTTTGTATGGGCATAGGCAGAAAATATTAATTTTTCAGTTTTATATTCTTAGATATGTTTAAATGGACACACTACAGCATTACAGTATACCTTAATACATATATACATACATATGTATAGCAACAAATGTGTATAATTTGTTGTACAATTTATAAGTGTATGTACAAATCCTGGAATGCATCCTCTTTTTAAAAAAAACACAGAATCGCAGGCTCAGAAGAGCTTGGAGACCACTGTTCTTAGCTGGTAAGCACTTTCCCTAAACCGTCTGCACTGTTTTTAACTAAGCACACCTCTCCTTTTGTTTCACCTGAGGCTTAGCGCACCGAAGTGTGGCCCCAGTCGGCTGTGCCCAGAATAACAGAGGCTTTGATGGAGCAGGGCCTGAGGGATCAATTCGCCTAACCCCTTCATTTGACAGAGGAAGAAACTGAGACTCACAGGGGTTAAGGGATTTTCCCCAAGCTGACAAGGTAAGGTTGAGCCCAACAATATGGGGAAACGGAGAGAAAATCCGGTTAATGCTTAGCTAGCCATGGTAATGTGTCATGAGGCTGGCTTGCAGAAATTAAATCCATTAGTAATCCCCAAACCTTATTTTAGCCCGAAGTTTTCAATGCCTCACTTACCAAACCCTCTGCTAAAGATGATAGTGCAATGGCTTTGTTTCTCTGAGCGCCCAAGAATGCATGCATTGAGCAAAAATGTCACACACACACACACACTGCTCACTGGGTTTCAGGTTCTGTGCAAATACAAATGTGGGGAATACATATGGCTATTTAGGTATATACATGAACTGTCAAAAACAGTGGTACTGAAACAAATATACTCCCCACTCTTGCCTTTTGTAAAGAATGGAACCAAATTGTCAGATTTTCCAACAGGCAAATAGTTATTCGAAATCTACTGGACTTTGAAATACTGTACAGCTGCTTCTGAAGAGACCGTCATCTCCTCGGAATTTAAGACCAGACCAATGCTAGACTATTATCATAAGCCAAATTCCAGTGTTTGGTTCTATTTCTAGACTCTCAATCTCTCTCACTGATCAGGTCATGTACTTAATTACCATCGAATAGGGCTTTATTTACTGAACATTATGATGGATAAGACGAGCCCCCTTTATTACTTTTTAATTTTATTTAAAAGTCCAGACTATTATTGAATGACATTCCCCCTCCCATGAACTTTACAATCACTTTGCTTACTCAAAAGCAAAATAAAATGAAACACCCCAAACCACTATCACCGACAAAAACCTACTAGTATCTTTCTTCATTGGGAAGCTCATGAAATTTTGAGGTTGGTTTAGGGAGGATTGACATCTGGCCACTGTAGGATCATTTTCCCCCCAAATAGACTCTTTAAATTTTTTTTCAGTAAGGATATATCTTTTAATTTTTTTCAACCACTTTATGTCCCCTTGGCAAATGAGCTTTTTTCATTCTATTTTCTAACTCAAGCTGTGAACATTTTTTTGTACAAATCTTATAATGTCATTTTATTGCACTTTCTTGTTATTTATAGCAGTTTTTAGTCGATTCTCTTGGGGTTTTCCATGAAGACATCCATCTCACTTGTGAATAATGAATATTTTGCCTCCTCTTTTCCAATTTTTATGTTTCAGATACTGTTTTCTTATGTAACTATATTACGGACTACTTCTAGAACAATTACGTAACTACATCCTGGTTATCGATCATTTAGAGTGTTTTCCCCACTATACTAATGTTGCAGTTTAGCATTTGTACAGAGTTTAAGTAGTTTGGGTCATTTCCTTAGGATAGATTCCTATAAGTGTAATTTGTTGGCTCAAAAAGTATAATCTTAAAGACTTTTAGTCCAATCTGTCACATTACCTTCACCAAAGGCTCTATCAGTGACTACTCTGGTCTTTCCTTCTCTGTCACAGTCCAGAGACTCGCAGCCCAGGTGCTCATCCCCCGCCCCTTCCTCCACGTGCCTCCGTTTTACTGGCCACTGAGGGCACAAGAACACAAAAGGCCACTCAAGTGATCACTAATCAATTTGGAGTTGAGGCTTAAATGAATTAGAAATTATTTGCTCACCCTACCTACAACTCATCCTAGACTTCTTTCCCTCATTCCTCACATTCTAAAATCCACCGAGTCCAGTAGATTCCACCACTGTAACTACTCTTATATCCACGGCTCATCCATCCAAAGTTACTGCTGTAGTTCAGGAACTCACCCTCTCTCAGCTGGACCAGGGCAACACCGTCGAACTGATCTTACATCCTCTTCGCAATTCTTTCTCCACCTACTCAATGGCAGGAAAACTCCTTAGGATGGTCACTGTTTCTGTCCAGTGTCTCATTTTAACCTCCACACTTACATGCTACCTTCTAGCCAAACCAGGCTATTTGCAGCTCCCTTATAACTTGTAATTCCAGTCTCTGTGCTTTTCCTCATGCTGTTTTAACTGTAGGAGTCCCCTCCTTAGCACCCCTTACCTTCAACACCCATCCATCCACAAAAACACACAACTGAAGGGGGTCCTCTCTGGGGAAACATGTCCCATTCCATCCCTTGCCCTTTACCATAAGACTGTTATAGGAAGGGCTGTCCAGTGATGGAGTATGGCAATATTTTTCGAAGTTAGTTTTGTGCCTGGTTATCAGAGTTCTTATACAAGCAGAACAAAGATTGATGAAAACTTGTAGGGATTGGCTCTCCCCACCTTTTTGGTGCATTATATTTGTTTAACATGACCTCAAGTTTATTCAGTACAAATCTATTTTCACCATCAGTATAAGCACAAGAATTGGCATTATAGAAGGGCCCTATATCTTGAGCTAGAGGAGGAATGTTTAAAAGTAAGAGTCCTCTCTGTACCTCCCTGCTTTCTAATACCTGGGCGCTTGCCTTGCTGACTCTTAATGATCACCTTAGGCCCTGAAGCACAATCATGAGAGACCCCCCCAATCACTCTAGCAACTTCAGACAAAGCTTTTGGTGCCTGCCTTGTTTTTGGTGGGGGAGAGATTCAGAAATCCTGGGAGCTAGAGTTGAAATGGGGAGGATCAGTACATCATCTAATTCAACTCTTTGTTTCCAGAAAGACCTAAGGAACTAACCAGTCCCTCCTATTTCTAAAGGTCTGTAGAAATGAAAAATCCTGTGTTCATCCAAGCTAGCACTGTCAGCCCTCAACTGAGAGGACTTCCTGGGTCTCCCTGCTGCTAATCTTCTTGCTTCTAACTCCATTTCCTGCCTCTAGGGCAACAGGTATAATATTGCTGGTTTACTGGGATTTCTAGGAAGTGAAGAGTCTTCCCTGAATGACGCCAGTTACATGCTTCTAACTTATACCAGAAAGGCCTACTTCTATCCGTGTTCTGCAAAAGTGGGAGAGGTAGGGGGTTTGGGGGAGTGGGGAGATCCTCACGTGGAAAAGCAGCACTCAAAATTCAATGAGGAAATAGAAGAGGTGTTCTCATCACACATCTGGAGGATGAGTTTGCACAGCACAGCTGCCCTTCTGCAGACTGTTCCTGAGCAGGCCAATTTATTCCAAATTCCAGCACAAGTGTCTGTTAATATCTACTGAGATGTTCAAAGCAAGTTAACCATCTACAAGTTATGGGGGTGCTCTTTATTGTAGATTCATTGAGAGACACAGACAAAACTGCTAACATATGTTTCTGTTGCTATGCCTTAGTCTTATCACGATTTGAAACTGTAGAAAATCAATTATGTGCTTTGAATTACTCCCTTCCCTGGCACAAAAGCATTTCTTCTTTCTTTCAGGAGAGTGAACACTTTGCAACATCTACCACTAACAGCCTGTTAGGATCCTCTGCTAAATCACTGTAGTACAAATAAACCAAACAGAAGACCGGAGGAATGCTAAACAGCCCCCCCTCTCCTGTGTTGTGGCCTCTTTGCAGCTTGGGACCTTCTGCCTTGCTGCCGTAACATCTGGACAGCATTCGGGTTTGTTTCTCAAGGACACAGGCGTGCACCTCCGGTGAATTTCAACTTTCAACATCTCTCTGGCTCTAATCTATATTTAATGTTTCATGACTGGTAGTCAAAGAAGCTTCAGCTAAATATCAGGTTGGAATGAAAATGATCCTTGGGAGAACATTTGCTTCCAGCGTGTGCCAGCAAAGTGTCTGTGACAGAGGCTCTCCCCAGAGACGCCTTGCCCATTCTCTTGCAGTAATAATAATTACGCCTTATGATTGCTGTGCCCACATAATCAAAGATCGCTTCATCACACGTGATCCCCAGGGGAAGCTGCCTCTGCTCCTGACTGGATGTCAGTCACAGAGAGCAGGACCCCCAGGGATCCCCAATCTTTCCATTGCCGTTTTCAGTGCCATGTTGTTAGCATTGTGTTTCTTCGTATTCTTCTCAATGCAAATGATGTGTAAATCATGCCCTCCAGAAGGCACACATGGTGAGGGGAGAGGGCGGGGGCATGGGGTCGGTGTATGCTTCCCTCCCCAACCTACCACAGGGATTCCTCCCATGGAACATAATTACATCTGTGCCATATGGGCTCATTTATATTCTATTACAGGTTAAGCTAATACAACTCAGAAATATGCTAAAAATACCTCAAAGTATTCTAGAGCTGTCAAAACACTTGTCATTTCTTGCTCACATGTTTGATTGCTAGTGTTTTTGTTGCAAGATTCAGGGAGCTGAGAAAGCATGCTGGCGTACTGGTGTCCAGTTTATAAATATAGTTTAATTCCCTGTATTATTGCAATCTTTGGGCTTGCAAAGAAAAGATCTTTCTTTATAAACTTGGAATGGCTCCAAGTCATGGGCATTAAAGTCCCTATACTTGTAGATTTTAATTTCCCAAGAGGTAGAAAATACAGATTTCAGATGTGTGGTTTTTGTCATCTTTAGAACATTTCTTGTCTTTGTTTGATGTAGTTATTCCTGGTGTTAGAGAAACACCTGCAGTGGGCCAACACACCAGAGAAACACGCTGTGTGAGCTGTAAGAGTTGGTTTGGGTGTCAGGCAAATCTTGTCAAGATTTTGCATGCAGCGTGGTAATGAGAACTACAAACCGTAATGAGTAATGAGTTCAACAATGATTTACAAGGGCATGTTGGGTTGCTTTTATGCGATGGTTAAAGTCCATCAACCCATTAATCTCTACCATCAGTTTGGAAAATTCGTAGGTCATGCTTGCGTAGCCTCTTAACCTAATGGTTTGATCATGTAATTAATTTTTTCATTATTGCTATCTTAACAAGTTAGTGGAATTTTTGGAAATTAGTCTTGGGTACCAAGGAGTGTGCACAGATATTTTACTTTCCCATGCTTGACAAACAACATTTCCAAAGCATATATGGTGCTAATCATAGAATCAGCCATCAGTTAAATATAACCCATTTCACTGAGAACTGAATTCACACAAAAGCATACTTTTCTAATTACGAGTCATAACTGTTCTATTCTATCTGGTTGAAGCAGTGGTTAAGGCTGCCTGGTTCCAATCTCCGCTCTGCTACTTGATAGGTTGTTAACTTGACAAATTCCGTAGTTTGTCCAGTCCCCCATCTATAAAATGAACATAGGAGCAGTAGCCCTACACACGGATTGTTGGAAGAACTAAACAAGACAATGTGTATAAAATGTGAGGCACAGTGTCTGGAACATAATAATCACTTAGTCCATATTTTTATTGTTATTGACTTTCACTACTGTTATTGACTTCAGTTTCAACATAAATAGCCTCTTAATGTAATTATATAGTTCTTTTAATTAAGAAATTATATTTTTGCCAAAATTACCCAGGTTGTACCAACTTCCACTTATCTTAGAACAATGCAGGCTAAAATTTCTTGACTATTTTGCACAACCAAGTTCTTATTCCATTTAGAATTAATAAGATTTCATGAACTTGCAAAGGAATAAAATGAAAAATTCAATGTTAATATACCAAAGACAAGTTTTTCTAGTTAACACATGATTTTGAAGTATTTGGACATTTAGGATTATTCAGAATACAAAGTGTCTGAACTTTTGCAACTGAAATGCTATATTTAAATAGGAAGAAACTTTGGTCTATGGTAGATAAATGGTTGAGCAGTAACTAGAGCCAAGTTTTTAGTTTTTGCTTTTAACCTTTGATAGAGAGCTATTTGAAGATTTTGAAGCTGTGTGTGCATTTCTGCGTGTGTGTGAGGGAGAGAATCTGTGCTGTAGTTACACACACACACACACACACACACACAAGACCCCCACTTTGGGGTCTTTATTTAGGAGTTGCTACTCACCCTCATGACCTTGGATAAATCACATGCCTTCTGAGTTTACAGATTGCCTTTTAGTTTATTCATCTTTCTTTCAGGCTGCTTATACTACCATAAAAGTAGAATGAAAAAAGTGAAATTATCATGAGACACTTAAAATTTACATTTTTCAGTGGAAGATCTAAGTCAAGGTGAACATAGAAATAGGAGTTTTCTTTTTCCCTTGCCTTGGCTTTGTGACTAGGATGGAAGCAATGATGAAATGAGATATGGACAATCTTTTACAGTCCACCATCCCCATCGCTTCCCCTGGCCATCTTGTCAGACAGCACCAGGTGTTCGGACAAGGGTACCACAGCTTTTACAAAGGAACAGCAATGTGATTCCAGACCTTCAAGACTTATGATATTTTATGGATAAAACGGATATTTTTCAGCTTTTAGAAAATGTTTTTCCCCTGTCATAATTACCCCTAGAGACTTTTCTGCAGAAATTACACAAACTTTTGATGACTAAGGTTCAATTACCGTTTTTTTTAGTTTCCTTTTGTAAACTGTACTATAAATGGCTTTAAAAATAAAATAAAAGATTTGCCCTTTAACCTTACATATTAAAAATAAAATCAATCTTTAAAATGATAAACAGGATTTTTTTGCAGGCTGCATCAGTATGAGATTAATGTTTTCCAAAATGACATAGGGTTTCACCCTAAATCTTTTCTTACAATATCTTCCCTAACCTATCCCACTGTTTTCAACATGGGACTACCAAGGGCGTCAGAGATAAGGACTGGTAGAAGTCTATTATTCTACTGAGAGTCAAAAGAAGGCCTTTTTCTTCTCCCCTGTAGTTTCCCTTAATAGGGCAGGAAAAAAAAAAACTCTTTGGGGAAAGCTGTAAGTAAACGTAAAACAACCTAAGACAACCACTACATTCGCAAACATGGACATTCATTTCTTTCTGGGGAGAGAAAAGTGTATGTATGTGTGTTTGCTTTTACTTTTAGCCAGACTTAATAGCAAATTTAAAATTAACTGCATTTAAACATACCCTGTCACAATATGCCTTACTAAGAGACAAAGACCCCCCAGCCCCTCAAGAGAAACCTCATTCTCCTGACTTAGCTTTGATTGTCAGCAGCTCTACAAAAGTAATCCAAGTTATAACCATGCTGGTTCCCCATGCCAGACCTAGATGCTTAAAGCTTTAGAAATATAGCTACTGTGTTCCCATGTCTTCTGTAAAAGACATTTGTCCTCTCCAGGAGGAAAGATCATTTCAAATTTGAACATCCATTTATAAAACTTTTGGACAGAAAAGCAAATTCCTAGAGTCCCAATTGACTGAAAAAAATCTATTGTGTAAAAAAATCCTCTGAAGGTGAAAAAACACTCAAACTTTAGTCACAAATTGTGTCATATTTCACATAACCTATGTAAACTTGTCATCTAAAAGATGGGGAAATCTGAGAGCTGAGACGAATTTTTTTATTTTGAAAAATGCTCTTAGGAAATTTAATGCATTAGATGTAATATGCACTCTCTTTTGTTACTTTGTGTTACTGGTTAGGGTTTTTTTTTGTAGAAAATTTAGAAAAACCACAGTATATACAAATATAAATATAAATTTCCCATAAAGGTAAATCCCATGCACATTTTGTTTTGTTTTCTAGTCTTTTTTTATGCATAAAGATGTTTTTATAAGTAATGAGATAATAGTACATGTAAAGCTATGTATCTTAGATTTTTTTCCTCCATTAGCATTCTTTTATCATTTCCTTGTTTCTTTAAATATTTTTCCTAAATTCTGTTTTTAACACCTGCATAACATTTCATTATACCGCATGCAAGTTTGTTTACCTTAATTTGCCACTTGGTATTTTAGTTTATTGATGGTTTCAATATGTAATGAATGGTCCTTCCAGTAACTTGGGTTCTTAGGTCCCTGGCTGTTCTCCTCTACAGTGACACACTCCAGGGTCAGACCTCAGAGAGCACGTCACTCCCACTCTCCACATGTCATGTATCCCACTCTGGCCAGCGTGCCCCTGACTGGCTGAGTCATTCTCCTAGTATTATGACTCAGACACTTTGGCCTCATTTGGACCTCCAATTCTACCACCTTTCCACCACCTCTTACTTCCGTCATGCCCTGATCCCCCTTACCGAGCTGAATTCTGTCCACAATAGCCACTCTCAATTGTTCACACCTTCCATTTCCTTGCCCTTTTTTTTTCTGCTGTCATGTTTGTT